TTTTTATGAAGCTAACAATTAATGAGGATGGCCCACTATTATCCTTTATACACAGTTAACTCTGTGCTAACTTTGTAGTTTTCTTTTCACATTCTGAAGTTAATAAGCTGTCTTTTTAGGTCTTACCTCAGGAAGATCCAGAGGGGCCTACAGGCCCCTAAGCACCTAACCTAGGGAAGGGAAGTCTAGGGAAGGTGCAACTCAGTTGCCAACCTGCTATCATCTTTCACCAGGCTCTCTTTTTTTGCTCTTGAAGTATAATAACTCTCCTTTCACAATTGCATTTGAAAATGCTTGTTCCCAGCCACTACCAACCCTTCTCTCTTCACTAGCGCACTAAGCAAATGTCAAGGTACCCAGAACGCCTTATCTCATCAGAAAGGTACCCATCCCAAGAAGAGTTAAATAAAAATGTTATTTAAAACAAAGCCTTGGGGCGCCTGGGTGGATCAGTCATTAAGCATCTGCCTTTGGCTCAGGTCATGATCCCAGGGTCCTGGGATCGAGCCCCGCATCGGGCTCCCTGCTCCGCGGGAAGCCTGCTTCTCCTTCTCCCGCTCCCCCTGCTTGTGTTCCCTCTCTCGCTGTGTCTCTCTCTGTCAAATAAATAAATAAATAAAATCTTAAAAACAAAAAATAAATAAAACAAAGCCTTTGTAACATTTATGAGAAAAATTCCTATTCAAAAAGGATATCTTCTCCAATAAGTGTAGATTTCGTATAAAGAGCAGTCAATTTCCGGGAAAACACTGAACTTCTATTGTCCCCGACAGCCTTTAATGCTGCAGTTTCTGTCTGCTTCACGACTCCCACCTTCAACAAAAATAAATACTGAATATCAAACCTGATGGAAATTGTTTTAAAGAAACACATTTGAAGACTTTAAAAGGTTAATTCTGAAACATATAAAATAAACACATTTGTCCACAATGTCCAGATGTAGGGCTTAAGTAATAAGTACCACAAAGAGCTTGCAAGTGTGGATAAATCACTAAGAAACAGTATCACAGACTTTTTTTTTTAATTTACCTTAAAATTCCAGTACATTAAAAACTCATGAAGATATAATGCTAACAATTGTGACACACTTGCGTTTCCCAAAGTCCGAATTCCAATTACAACCTACCACCTTACAGAACATGTTTTCATTCTCTGAAGGGAATCCAATCCCGTTTGTACAAGTCAAAGCCAAAGCTGACCTTATATCCCTTTGCCACAAGGCGGCGTACGTGAACAAACAGCCTGTGAGTAGGTATGCTTGCTGTCATAAAGTTGTGATCTAAATGGCAATAAATATTGAGTTCCCGGGCTGCAATCTAAAAAATTTAAAAAGAGAGTTATCAATAAATTTCTCTTTCAAGAGTCCCTGTGTGGTGTTTGCTCACTTTGCTAAAAATCCATCAAGGTATACACTTGGGATTAGTGCACTTTTCTACCTGTGTGGTATTATCAATAAAAAGTTTAAAAGACATTTCCCGTATAGAAGCCTATGGTTTCATCTATTTTTGGCAGTTCCCACGGCCTGACCTCATGGCTAACATCTGTATCTATAAACGACATGGAAAAATATAACAGGTCTTCTATGCCCCTAGATCTATCGAAACCTTAAAGTGCTGAGCCTTCCCTGCATAAGGACTATTCAGTGCACAGAGTGTGAGACTGTAAGAGTAAGAATTTGCAACAAAGCACATGCAACAAAGCACATGAAAATGAGGAGAGACTACCATACATAAATTCTGAAGCTACTTGCACAGAGGCTATCTCTGAGGAAGTGAGAAGAGAACGCCCTGGTCTGGTTAGCTAATGCACGATGCATAAATAAATGATAGGAATGCAGAACCAGGCAACACCAGCTGACTCCCCACTACCTTCTGGAAAGCTCAATGGCTCAGATATTGCCCACTGGAGCCATGGAACTCTCATTCCAACATTCTCACTCCCTCACCCCACCCATCTCTGGACTGTATTAGTTCCTCACTGAAGGGCCAGAAGACATTAGCCTGTAACTTACCACTCGACCTGGAGAGAAGGGGAGAGAATGGCATTTTCTTTCACTCCTTTACCTATACGATGCCAACTATGTATCTGTTCCTGTCTTCAGGAAACATGCTGACTCTGCTTCAAAGTCTAACTTCGTAACACCAAACCCAACACGATGCCACCTATACTAAAGATCACCACTTCCATGCCACAACAGGATTTTAAAAACTGCAAAAAAAGTTGGTTAAGTCTTTACTTCCTATCCATGAGGTAGATGTTAGCTGTGCCACCCCATCACTCTCCAACGATGTCTGACATCTGATGATATAGACCTAAAATTGTGGAATCATCACAATCATGCATGACTCCAACAGAACATCAGCAATGCTTTCCCTACACTTGCCCACTAAATGCTCAAATTCACTTCTAACCTTAACTTCTGCCTACATCAAATACCTCAAAATTAAATACAAAATCAACTTAGACTAACAGAGCAAGATGACTGACATACAAAGAGACTGTAAGACTTCAAACACCTTCTGCAGGTGCCTGGCAGTTAATGTGCTCTTCCACCGAGACGTAACTAGCTTCCAGGCCGTCAAAATTTATAAATTCAGAGTAAACAGGCATCTGAAAATTTTTCCTTGCTTGAGTCTTCATCAGGAAACATAAAGACTCACATGATTATGGTTCATTCACTATCTGATTCATCCAATCACCTTGCAGTGGATGAAAGGTCCTGGACAAGCACATGGAGAAAAGGCACGACATTCCAAAAGGGGTCCCTCACTCTTCCCCCACTGGTCTAGCACCCCCCAAGTTCGCCTGTGTTTATTTGTAGTTTTTACTTTAAATGACAGCATTTTAAAAAGCAACTGATCACACTGGTCCTCTTATAAAGTCAGAAAATGAAACAAAAATATCGGAAAATATTTCAGGCTGGACAAGAAAAACATGAAACGGTATTTGAAAAAATAACTTACCTCTGCATCTTCCCCAAAGAATCTATACTTATATCCACATTCCACACACAAAATTGCATCTTTCTGCTGCTCCTTCAATTCTATGTATTGTAATTCTAAAGGTGTGTAGATGCTTTTGGTCCGTTTGTTAGATGGCTTAGGATCAGAAGTTTTTTGTAAATTGTCATTATCCATGTGTGATGATCCAAAAGGATTGAGATCAGAAAGTGTCTTATCCTGGCAACCAAAAGATTTTTATAGTTTAGAAAGTATTAACCACAATAATAGTTTTCAGAAAGAGAGAGAAGGCAAATTTGGCACAAACCTAATAATTGATGAATCTAAGTGAAAGTTTACAGGAATACATAGTATATTCAGGTAAACTTTTTTGCAGGTTTGAAATTTTTTTCAGGGTAAAAGACTAAAAAAAAAAACAACAAAAGAGCCAAACTAAACTACTGTATAATTATTTAAGCAAATTTTAAAAGCCTAAACATTTTAAAGTTTTATACACCTCTTTTTAAATTTTATTTCATTAAATCTATTGTAATTAACATTTTCTTTTCCATATTTATTCCTAGATGTGTAAAGCACAAAAAGTGAGCAGGCATGAATGTCTCTCTCTCAACAGTAGGTAAGACCACTTTTAATAAGTATGCCATCAGCTAAAGCTACACTTAATGTTTCAAATTTCCAAGCAGTCTAAAAGATAGTACATTCCACAAATCTTGACTGCAAGAAAGAAGCATGATTTTTTTTGGTAAAGAGATATGACACAGAGCTTTTGAAAAGTATAAAGGTCACATTTCAACATTAATATTCCTGCTAGCCTTCCCTTCATATGTGAAAACCATAACTAATTCCAGTTTAGAGCTTAGGGCAAATTCCTTGCTTGTGAGACTTATTTATACAAAAGGTAAAATGAGACAAATTTGTAGGATAAATCTGACTTCTAGCTAACTGTCACTGTGTCACTGCCATCATCTAAAAATTTATCAGCTATGCCTGGAATTAAAAAATATGGCCTAAAAGGGGCGCCTGGGTGGCTTAGTTGGTTAAGCATCTGCCATCAGCTCAGGTCATGATCCCAGGGTCCTGGGATCAAGCCCGAGTGGGCTCCCTGCTCCAAGGGGAGTCTGCTTCTCCTTCTCCCTCAGCCTCCCCCCACCCCCGTCCACTTGTGCTCTCTGGCTTGCTCTCTGTGTCAAATAAATAAATAAAATCTTTAAAAAATACATATATATGGCCTAAAAGACTAGTGATCAGGGGCGTCTGGCTGGCTCAGTCAGAAAACCATGCAACTCCTGGTCTTGTAGTCGTGGGTTCGAACCCCAGGTTGGGTGTAAAGATTACTAAAAAAATAAATAAATAATCTTTAAAAGACTAATGATCGGGGCACCTGGGTGGTTCAGTCACTTAAGTGTCTGACTCTTGATTTCGGCTCAGGTCATGATCTCAGGGTCCTGGGATGGAGCCTTGCATAGGGCTGTGGTCTCTACATTCAGCAGGAAGTCTGCTTGAGATTCTTGCTTTCCCTCTTCCTCTGCCCCTCCCCCACTCAAATAAATAAATCTTAAAAAAAAGACCAGTGATCAGCAGGGGAGAGAAGAGAAAAAGAGAAATGTCCTATAGGGCCAAGGGAGAGGACCCTGATCCAAGAGAAAGCCTAGCAACATGTACTTTACAGTTGCATTTAAAAATGTGGCTTAGCTGAAATAGAAGGTAGAGATGTGAATTATCTGAATAGTGCAGCCCAACAAATCTCCAAATATCAGCAATGAGATGGTGAGGTGTGGGAAGGTGTGGCAACGGAAAGGTAAGTCAATGTATCAGATGAGAGAATGCATTTGCTTTTAACTTTGATGGATTCTCTCATTTGTTTCCATGCCTTTTATGTAAAATCCAGGAATACTATATATTCTAACACTTAATCCATACTTGAAGAAAATATGTTTCCTAGAAAAAAAAGTTCTTACTTTATGCTTTATTCACATATGGAATGAGAGTAGGCATGCAGAGAACAACTTTTATACTAACAAGTCAATCTGAATACTTGAGTATTAAGCAACTTTTTTTTTTACCATTTGGGTGGAAATACTTCTCAGAATGTTAAAATGGGAATTTCAAAACCTATCAAGACTTATGGGGTTGTTGACTCCCACACTAATGGTCCCAGACCCTAGAACCTGGCCATTTAACTTCACTTAATAGCTTTTACCATTTGTCTGTGTCCTTCCATGCCATCAGTCAGCTATCTCCTGAAATGACGTCCATGTACTATACTTCTAGGTGTCCCTTCTAACTGGTGACTTCTAATGTGCTGTGAATCAGAAATACCAAGGTGGTCATTTTATGTATAAAGTAACGGTAAACAAGCTCTCATGAAGCCCTACGGTAAACTCTCCAATTAATAAATTGAGCTTCTTAAGACAAATGTTTTGATATCAATATTTTTATGACTACTACACTCAGGTGAACTGCTTCTAAGTATTTAAAGAGATTAAAAAAAAACACCTTTTTTCCTAAGTCAATAGATCTCAGCTTGGATGAAGGAAGAGTTCGTGAACCTGGATTTTGTGGGAAAGACTGTAAACTTCTGAAAATTACATAAAAAAATTGTGTTGGTGTGTTTTTATGAGTAAAAAATCCATTGCTTTCAGTCCATAGCTTTTTAAAAATCCATAGCTTTTCATTTAAATGACTCAAAAAAATGATTACACACTAAAATGAGAGCTTTTAAACAATATTCATACTCCGTTCTTAGCAAAAACCAGTATGAATCTGAAGGTTTTATCAGCATTTTTTTAAGTTCTCCAGGTGATTCTAATTTAAAGCTGACCTGCGAACCACTGTTCTGAATTGTAGATGTTAATGACAAAGCAAAAGTTAAATTCCCTGATTCCGCAATGCTGAAAAACATTAATATATCATATAACAGTGGAAGTAAAGAGCCATATATGTTTGGTTTACCTTTGAGTTTACTTTATATCACCAAATTTTCAACTAAAAACCTCAAAACCCATATATGTTCCCTATGGTTTTCCATCATGGTAACTATAAGGAGGATTATAAAACTTGTGCTTGTATTCATTAGTAAGAATCCCCCCAAACCAAGGATTCTTAACCCAGGCTGTACATCAGAATCACCTAGGGGCTTTTTTGTTGTTGTTCTGTTTTCATACAAACCAATTCTTCCCTCCTTAATACGCAGTAAATCACAATCTCCATGGACTTAAAAAATAAATAAGCTAAAATGCAAAAGCTCCCGCAGCTAATCTGGATGATTAGCCGAGTATAGGAACCAATGCCTTGTGTGAACCCACAGAACCTAATGGCACCTCTGAACCTACTGATTTGAGTAACTGGATATTCATCTACAAAACACGTACCTTTTGACTAATATGAGATTTGGAATCTTCACAAGAAACTGCCTTCTTTGCACGTAGATGATTGATATCATCAAAATCAGTACATTTTGGCAGAATTGCAAATCTCTCCTGAAGAGGCTCTGTCCGGACTCTATTTTGAGGAGGGGCAGAATCGCAGCGGAATTCTTTCAATTTTTCCAGAGACTTTAAAACATTCTTGGTCCTCAGACACTTCTTTGGCTCTTAGTTAGCAAATCAGAAGAAAATATAACAATAGTATTTTGTTCTCATTATGTCAATTCATATTCATAACCAATGTAGGATTTTTAAAGAGGGAGCTTCTCACTAAAGCAATGAATCTAACTACAATGTGATAAGGAAATAAAGAAACATTTGGGTTTAGGGCAAAGATAGCAAACTGAAACATACATGTAATTTCACCTGGTCCTGAAACCCCATTACAAACTATAGTAGGGTTTTTCTTTTTCTTTTTCTTTCTCTTTTTTTTTTAGGACATAAGGACAGAAAGAAAAGGAGAAGTGACAGGTGCAAATAAAAAATCTGAAACTAGAAGAAAAAATAGATGAATAATAACCAATTCAGCACACCTGAAAGCTAAATCCTAAACCAGTGGTGAAGAAAACCAAGAACCAATACCACTGGGGTGTCTGTGCGGCTCAGCTGTTAAGCGTCTGCCTTCGGCTCAGGTCATGATCCCAGGGTCCTGGGATCGAGCCCCTCATCGGGTGCCCTGCTTGGCAGGAAGCCTGCTTCTCCCTCTCCCACTCCCCCTGCTTGTGTTCCCTCTCTCGCTATCTCTATGTCAAATAAATAAAAATCTTTAAAAAAAAGAAAGAACCAATACCATTTATAACACAAAATGCTCAAGGCTCAGGAATCAGGGCAGTAGACTATGTAATAAAGTGAGGTTCTAAAATCAAGAAGACTGGTTCAAAGCAAGTTGATCCCTAGACGCTTAGCCCACTCCGAGCTCAAGGACAGCTGTGCTTCCTCCACCTCAGCAGAGAACTGGCGGTTTCTCTGGAGAAGGTAGAACAGGCACAGCTGAGATGGAGTACTGTGCCTGAGCCAGAGGAATAATGGGAACAGGGGCTTCCTGTAGGCTGAGAAATGCAGCCTCTTCCTCATGAGCTCTCAGAACACAGGCAGCCAGGGCTTCCTGCTCCAGCCAAGAGCAGGGAAGACTCCGGACCAGGGAAATGGATCAGCTTAATGGGAAAGACCTAGGGATACTGACCCCAGGGGTTCACCAAGGAAGGCAGATCACCACCCCGCCCCAACATACCTGTTATCCCACCTCCACAGCTTTACTCACACTATTCTTTCTCCCCGGAATGCCCTTAACCCCAACTTCCATGTCAAAATCATACTCATTCTCCAAGATTCCTCTCAAAACTACTTTTCCATGAAACTCTTGCTAACTCCCCTGGCTTAAAATCATCTTTTGTCTGTGTTCCTATAACAAGGTCACATTTCGGGGCACCTGGGTGGTTCAGTCGTTAAGCGTCTGCCTTCAGCTCAGGTCATGATCCCAGAGTCCAGGGATCGAGCCCCACGTCAGGCTCCCCGCTTGATGGGAAGCCTGCTTCTCCCTCTCCCACTCCCCCTGCTTGTGCTCCTGCTGTCTCTGTCTCTCTCTCTGTCAAATAAATAAAATCTTAAAAAAAAAAAAAAAAAACAAGATCACATTTCTCCATAGCACTTATCACAGTCTGAAAAAGTTCTTCATAAGAAAGCAATCCATAAAAGAAAGAAAACTATCATTTACTGTCTGCTATCTACTATATGCCAGAATATATTATTTTTCCCTTTAGGGTAATACTATTAGGTAGCCACTATTAAATATAATGATAAAGGGACTGCATTTATCACCTCTCACTTTTCCTATTAAAGCAAAAAAAACCTCTGAGAGCAAGAGTTGTGTTCTGTCCATTCCTAAGAGTTTAAAACTTTTCTTATTTATGTTTAATTATATATTTTTACATTTATATTTAAACCTCTTTTCACATGTAAATTGTACCTTATCTCTTGCTAATCTTGTAGCTGGAATAATGTATATTTGAATCTCTTTCAAATTACTCTCCCCTTTTCAAAATGTATACTTGAATCACTCTTCAAAAGTATACTATAAGTGGGGGCGCCTGGGTGGCTCAGTCGGTTAAGTGTCTGCCTTCGGCTCGGGTCGTGATCTCTGGGTCCTGGGATCGAGCCCTGCATCAGGCTCCCTTCTTGGCAGAGAGTCTGCTTCTCCCTCTCTCTCTGACCCTTCGCCCTGCTTGTTCGTTCTCTTTCTCTCTCTCTCAAATAAATTTAAAAAAAAAGTATACTGTGTGTATATTATACAAGGACTTCCCTCCTACGGATATTAAAAAACTTCCCTGGGATGGGGGTGGTTTACAAGTCCTGGGGTTGTACCCATAAAAATCTGAATTTATTTATACATCATTAAGATAGTGCTCGCTTCAGTAGCACATATACTATAAGCATTAAGATAATGAAGATTTGTACTTATCAAAATACTCCTGAGATAGAGTTCTATACTATGTTTATCTGTAATTCAAATAAGAGTATTAATAACATAAAAAGTCGAATTTTGACCCATGTAGGAGATTTTATTTATCAAAGAAGGCCAGATATATATATATCCCATCCTGTTTGCTCTTCCTACAATGTGATGCTGACACTCCGGCACTGGGAGGTGGGATAGACGGTCCCGCCTCTTGAACGAAGGCAGGCCTTTGTAACTAACTCATCCAACAGCATAAGGCATGTTAACTTCTGAAGCTAGCTCTTAGAATTCAATACAGCTTCTGTCTGACTCTCAGGGTGCTCATCCTTGGAGACTCAAGCTATGAGGAAACTCAAACTAGCTCACAGAGAAAGACCAGTGGTGTGCTGGATGAAGCCAACTGATACTGGCTTATTAGAGCCAACTGTTAAACCTTCAAGAATTTTGTGAGCCAGCTGTCAAACACAGCCATGATTACAAATTAGATTACATAAACTTACAATTAAATAAACTGTATTAAAAACAAAGGTAATAAATACTCAAACCTCATCATTTTTTAAAACTGTTACTACACTTTACTATTATCTACGTTCTTTTTATTACCTATGTTCTAAAGGTTATTAATGTCCATTTTTTCCATATGGTAGAAATAATATATAATAATATGCTACTGCTACTATGTATTCCTTCCCAACTCTAGAAAAATCAAACTTTAGGAACAGAACTACTCTAAACCATCTCTTCCAAAATTTAAAAACAATCCTTAAAAAGATCAAACTGATCCACAAAGAATTTAACTATGTGCCAGAACAAAGTCCAACATTCTTTAAAGAAACACAAAACCCAACACATGATAACACAGAATTCAAAGTGTCTATGACCCAAACAATTACTTACTAGACATGAAAAAAGCAGGAAATAACAGTCAAGGGATACAGACCCAGGAATGACAGAGATTACAGAATTACCAGATATGGACATGAAAACATTATAAAAATGTTCCACATAATCAAAAAGGTAAAGAAAAACACAAACATAAAGAGAAGCAAAGGGAAGATTTGGATTTTGGGTTTTGTTTTTGGTAACAGCTTTACTGAGATGTAATTCACATAGAGAAAAAGGTGATTTCTTTTAAAAGAACAAAGTAGAACTTCTAAAGATGAAACGTACAGTATCTGAGATGAACATTTTACTGAATGAGATTTATGGCAAGTTAGACAACACAGAAGAAAAGATTACCAAATTTGAAAATGTAGAAGGAGAACTGATCCAAAATGAAGCACAAGGAGAAATAAGACTGGAAAACAAATGAAGGGGCTGGACTGGCAGATGCTCTTTTCCCTTTTTCCTGAGCACCATTTTTTAACAAGTCGCAAAAAGTCTTATTTCAAAACATTCTAAATCAATTGCCTTGTTAACAACAGAAAGGGTATTATCAGATTTATCATTCTCTTTAAGTATACATCTCCATTTCTATACTTATTTCATACTAAGGCTTTCATGTTGACCCTAAATCCAAACTTTACCTTTTGGGGAAGGATAGCTATCTTACATGCTTGATCCACTGAATTGAGACTTTTTTTTTTTTTTTTTGCTTTCCTTTTATCTCAATCTCTGCCTAATTTTTCTGGGGATAATGAAGAAAGAGGCATTTTCTGTTATCCCTTATAACAAATTCTCCGAGGCCAAGAACTAAAGAAATACTGCTCAACCATCTATAAATCCAACACTACCTCTAGAAGTCCACAAGCTCAGGAATGGTGGTTTTATCCAAAGACTTTTAGCATACAGAAATAGCAATTCCATGCTAAAAAAGGACAAGGTAGATTTACATGTCCTGACATTGAAAATTATTCAAAACGTTCTGTTAAGTGGAAAATCATAGTTGCAAGTTAGTACATATAGTATAATACAACTTATAAAATACAGTTGACCCTTAAACAACATGGTTTAAACTATGTGGGTCCACTTACGTGGGGATTTTTTTTCTATAAATACGGTATGCTACTGTAAATGTATTTTCTCTTCCTTATGATTTTAACATTTTCTTTCCTCTAGCTTACTTCGTTGTAAAAATACAGTATATAATATATATAACATACAAAATATATCTTAATCAACTGTTTATGTTATCAGTATGGTTTCCTATCAACAATACACTATTGGTAGTTAAGTTTTGGGAGAGTCAGAAAGTTCTACATGGATTTTCAACTGTGCAGGGCATCAGTGCCCCTCACCCCCATGTTGTTCAAGGGCCAATTCTATTATTACTAAGTAATTTGTGGGTCTTTGTGTGTGTGTGTATATATATATATACACACACACACACACACATAGCTGTGTATAAATAGAGAAACCTGGAAAAATATTCAGTAGCCCCCCCTAAAATTACCAGGTCTCACTAAAAGGGAAGGATTATGGGGTCTTTCGTTATCTACCTTCTATATTTCTGTATCGTTTGAGATTTTTATAACAAGAATGTTTTACTTTTATAATCAGGACAAAAACTAGCTAGGAGGAATAAAGAGAAAATGGGGAGAACTACAGCCAAATTGCAGAACTCCAGTTCTACCTCCACACCCCCAAAGCCCTACTCACACCACAACTTATGGAGGGGCCACTCTACTCAAGCACAGTGGAGACCTTTGTCCATAAAGGAAAAAATGGTGCAACTCTCCAATAACCTCCTCTGCTCTCTGGAGAAGACAGTATCAGTGCCACGACTAGTGAGAACGAACAATCATCGCCCTAGGACTCACCAGTGTTCCCAAACATCATTGAATCACTTCTTCCTTCCTTTTCTTGGACTTTCTTTGCTTTCTTTTGAACAGGCCCATCACTCTCCAGTGGTCTCTTTTTACTGCTGTCAATTTCTGCAACCTATATTAGAAAATGATGTGTTATCTCTAATCTCAAAACTTGATGTATGTGAAATAATTTAAACTGTACTTCTGACTAACAAGGTCCTTGCCATCCACTCTTTTTGGAATCATCTACCTTCAGCCCTGGAAAGAACTATAGGTAAACTCTCCTTACTGTCATGAAAGACAGTGTGGAGACTGGAGGTCATGAGCCTCAGCACTTCAAGCCCTGCTAGCATTAATCAGAACCAAGGCTGACACCTTTCTTTACTCAATCAGCCTTCACCTATCTCAGATTATAAAACCTGAGTCACCCTACTTACCTATGTCAAATAAAATACCTTTTAAAAAATATCCATTTTAGGAAAGGTGAAATTAGATACATAATAAAAGAACAAAACCATTTTTGAAATGTTAATTGTAATTTAACTGTTTCATGTTCAAACCTGGCTTATGTTCACCACGGGAGATACCACAAGATTATAAACTATGTACTGGCAGGAAACTGTCAAAAATTAAGTCCTTCACAAAATACCCTCTAAATGGTAGGTATAAAATAAAATCCTGGTGTATTCATGAAATGTAGACTATCATCAAAAATCCAAAACAAGGGTGGGGGGATGGGTTAGCCTGGTGATGGGTGTTGAGGGGGGCACGTTCTGCGTGGAGCACTGGGTGTCATGCACAAACAATGAATCATGGAACACTACATCAAAAACTAATGATGTAATGTATGGTGATTAACATAACAATAAAAATTATTTAAAAAAAAAAATCCAAAACAGGGGCACCTGGGTGGTTCAGTCCATTAAACGTCTGCCTTCAGCCCAAGTCATGATCCCAGGGTCCTGGGACAGAGTCCCATATCAGGCTCCCTGCTTGGCGGGGAGTCTGCTTCTCCCTCTACCCCTCCACCCTGCTTGTGTGCTCTCACACGTGTGTTCTCTCTCAAATAAATATTTTTAAAAAATCAAAAACAGGAGAGGAGAAATCACTCCATGGAAGAAATATAAATGAAGGGAACAAGACTCCGAAGTAGCTAAGCTGTCATCCATGTTAAAACAGGGAGGGTGGCTAACAGTCAGTCTGCAATCCCTTTCCACATCCTGTTTATTTTTTTTTTAAGATTTTATTTATTTATTTATTTGTCAGAGAGAAAGAGCACAAGCAGGGGGAGCGGCAGGCAGAGAGAGAAGCAGGCTACCGCTGAGCAAGGAGCCCGATCCAAGACTGGATCCCAGGAGTCTGGGATCATGACCTGAGCTGAAGGCAGACGCTTAACCGACTAAGCCACACAGGAGTCCCATCACATCCTCAGTTTAAAAAATACTGTTCCAGGGAGCCCCAGTGAGGGCTCAACCTTAGACTTTCCCTGGTGGCAGTGTCCTTGGTAAAAAACAAAACAAACTACTTACTCAGTTGAACGGTGGCAAGCAACAGGAAGGATTCAATGACTAACCATTCACATCTGCACCACCCTAAACTTAATCCAGCCAAACTGTGTATTAAATTTTAAATCTTAGCTACAAGTGTAGTCACTGAGGAACTGCACAGTATGACTGCTCTTACCCCAGTCGCTTGATTACTGCGCACCGCTGTTGCATGCTTAAAAACTAGAGACTTAAGGTCAATTTTCTTCCAGTCACCTAACCCGGTATATCAAATACGGTAAATAAAGCTCTTCAAACTTCGATCCAGTTTTTAAAAAAAGGGGGGGGGCGGGGAGGTAGAATGGAGGTTAAAAGATGTATACTTTGCCCACAAGCCCCTACGCTCATCAAACTGAAGTCAGGAGACCTGAGTTCCTGTTTCGGGTCCGCCATTGAGAACCTGAATGATCTTGGCCTCAAGTCTATCACTCCAAACAACTACAAACTCAACCGCGCCGAGGATGGAGGCCGGCCTGGCTTTTCCCGCCTTCTCCTTTCTGAGCCTCGCCCCTATCTCTCTGGCCGGCTCATCTCGCGGACTCTCGCGCACCGTCCCCGCCCCCACCCATCTTGCCCCGCCCCATCTCCCCGCTGGCCCCGCCGCGCCCTGGACCAAACCCACCACGCGTGGCGGCAACTGAGGCGGGAAAGTGGGCGCTAGGGGCGCTGCGGAGTCAGAGTCAGGGTCGGCCTTCTCGGCTGCACCCGAGGGGGACGAAGTAGATTTCAGGCTTCCCGTAGACTGGAAGAATCTGCTCAAAACCGCTTGCCCTGCAGGCGCTGGGCCGGTGGCAGCGGCACGGCCCGAGGCAGGCTTCCGGCCCGACATCGCAGGGCACAGAGTGACAACACCCGGGCAGGGCCCAGCCGGAAGCGCGAACCCGCGGCCGCAGGTCCCCGGCGTCTGCGGGCGCGAGCACGTCACGACCCTGCCGTGCGCCGGGGCGGGGGGCGGAGTCTCGGCTGCAACAAATGGGACCTAGGAGGCGGGGTGGCCACGGTTTCGCGCCAACCTCGGTGGGCCGAATCCCGGTTTGGTGAGCTAGCTGGGAGGTGTTTACAGCCGCTGTCATGGTTCGTACGCTAAACTGCATCGCCGCTGTGTCCCAGAACATGGGCATCGGCAAGAACGGGGACCTGCCGTGGCCCCCGCTCAGGTACCTGCCGGGCAGGGGGTAGATTGGGTTTGGGAGAGCTGGCGCGGGCTGCCTTTGATCGCTGCACTAGGACGGGGTCACGCAGACACTTGCGGCGGAAGGAGGGGGTCGGACTTGGGACCCGAGCTGATGGGAGCTGGGCCTGGACTTCTTTCCGCCATCAGGAGCCGGGAGGACAAGTTACTGATTTCCGTCCTGCTCCTGCCGCCCGGCGGGGAGTTTTCCCCCCGCAGCGTCCTGCCTCCTGACAAAGTCCGGGTCCCGGAGACCGCCCCCCCCCCACTCTCCGCCCACTCCTCCAGCGCAGCGTCTGTGGGTCGCGTTAGAGCTAGAACCCGCGGGAGAATGTTTTGAGTAACGCTGTTTGTCTAACTTGTAGGAACGAATTCAAGTTTTTCCAAAGAATGACCACAACCTCCTCAGTAGAAGGTAATGTGGGATTTTTAGGAGATTGAGGTTTGGGGAACATCTTGCTGAGTAAGCTTACCAGTGCAGATTTTATTTAAATGAAAAGTTGTCCATGTTAATCTGGGACCCTTTGTCTTACCACTTATTTGAATGCAGTTTCCAAGGTGTGTCATATCCTTTAAAAAAAAAAAAAAGTTCTTTGAAATTTTATATGGGCAAGCGTACAGTTGAGGTACTGGGCAGAATTAGCAGCTAGCTGCAGGCTTCGGTGAAGAAAATAGAAAGGAAATCAGAGGAGGCATAGCCCCTGCAGGAGATGATGGGGCCTGAAGGAGGGCAGTGGAGAGGAGAAAAGTCCAAAAAACGGTTCCATGATATTCAATGTGGAGATCAGGAAGGCGAAGGGGATGCAGGAAGGGATCTAGGATGAACTCTCAGATACTCAGGTGAATAATCCTGGGTGACATGGAGAATAAAGGAGTGGAGAACAGTGTGCAATTGTAATAATGATAATTTTGAGGTTTGAGGCTTTTGTGGGATATCCAGGATAATTTCAGGTACAGGGAAGTAGATGAATTGAGCCAGTGGAGAGACGAGAACAACCAAGGAAAAGAATATAGTGGTGGGATACCCGTTTAAAACCTAAGAGACATGGGCGCCTGGGTGGCTCAGATGGTTAAGCATCTGCCTTCGGCTCAGGTCATGATCCCAGAGTCCTGGGATCGAGTCCCACATCGGGCTCCCTGCTCCTTGGGAGCCTGCTTCTCCCTCTGCCTCTCTTTCTCTGTCTCTGTCTCTCATGAATAAATAAATAAAATCTTTAAAAAAAATAAAATAAAACCTAAGAGACATGTATTTGGTCATAGGAGAAGGAATAGCAGAGTAAAAGGGAAATAGTAAGTCAGAAGCAAATGCAGCATAACTTTAACCGGACAGATACAAGTCCTTGGACCTGGCACTTGGGTCACTAGTAGAGACAAGATAACAGTAGTTTGAATCTTAAGGAATTGACATAAACCACTCTCTAGAATCCAAAGTATGGTCTAGTAGTAGGGAAAGCATCCAACACCTGGCCTGTTTGCTGGTTTTCAGTAAATACAGTATTGGATGAGTGGTTGGAAGGGTACCAAAGGTGTGTTGGCTTTTTTTTGTTTTTTCTTTTTTTCCCGCCTGCCTGCCAATGTCTCCCTATGCTCTTCACTTATCATCTCTACCTTAGTTGTTAGGCCAGGTCTGTACCATTTCTGTCATCAGAATTCCTCACCTAATGGCTCTGTTATTTTTGATAATTGATATCTCCTTACTAACACCTAAAGCTCTGTCTGTGAAAATGCAGTGCATATCACATAGGGGGCACCCTAAATTATTGGGGTTTTAATTCTTAGAGGAAAAAACTTTTCTTAACATTTGGAGGTAATATTTGGTTATGGGTAATGAAGCAATATACGGAAAAATGCTTAGTCTTACAGCTTGTATTTTGTAAATGTTAGTATTTTTATTTCAATAAAATCAAGCTAATAATGATTCTTTAAAACAGACACATGCACTTCTTTTGATAGCCTGTCAGAACGTATCAAGAATTACAGAAATGTGTATATTCCTTTGATCCAGATATCTGACTCCCAAGATTTTTTCCTAAGTGAAGCTATGTGTATAAAATTTCTATAGAAGCATTATACTTGAAAGATAGAAGCACAATTGAAAGTGTTTTAGCTTGGGACGCCTGGGTGGCTCAGTCATTAAGTAGATGAGCCTTCGGCTCAGGTCATGATCCCAGAGTCCTGGGATCGAGCCCCGCATCGGGCTCCCCGCTCCATGGGAAGCCTGCTTCTCCTTCTCCCACTCCCCCTGCTTGTGTTCCCTCTCTTGCTGTGTCCTTCTCTGTCAAATAAATAAAATCTTTTAAAAAAAAAAAGTGTTTTAGCTTTTTAATTGAGTGGAATATTAAGCACTTGTCTTTAAAAGTATGACTATTAATATAAATCTACAAAGTATACAAATATGAATAATACTATCATATCAAACAGTTAAACTAAACTTATTAAATCTTTAAGTCTTCAATCCCCACAGTAACCCTAGAAGTAGGAACTACTGTTACCTCCATTTTATAAATAAGGAAAGTAAGACACAGAAGACTAACATGACTTTGTCTAGTAGATGACTGAATATACTGAACTTGAGCACTTTGCCCCAGAATCTTGGCTCTTCACTATTATACATGATTGCAGTTGATTAAAACTAAATATTGGGTATGGATTGAATAATACCATAGGGAAAAATAGTTACTATATTTAGGAAATGGGGTGATAAATGTAAATTTTGGTAAGCCTGTTTTAATTTTAATTTTTAATGGAGATCCACTAGATGTCACTATGACAATCGTATCTCTGCATATACGTGTGGGAATATATGAAAATATAAATGTATACTCCCAAAATATCCTTTTATGTGATTTTCTAGGTAAACAGAATTTGGTGATTATGGGGAGGAAGACATGGTTCTCTATTCCCGAGAAGAATCGACCTTTAAAGGACAGAATTAATTTAGTTCTCAGCAGAGACCTCAAGTAAGTACTATAACAAATTCACCACAAAAAAATCATGTTCCATTTTTTATGGTGGAGGTCAGTGTCTGATGAAATAGTATAAATACAGCATTGTTGATCAAGCTGCCTAATATCACAAAGATGATTTACAGAAAATGAATAAGCAGTTATTTATCCCACATGACAGTAACTCACTCTGCTACTTAAGGGATTGATTTCACCACTGTGAAAAGTTACATTAAATCTCACTGTGGTAACAGCTTTGCCAGTTTCCCTGAACTGTTATTCCATAGGCTCAAGTATCATTTATACAACACAGTTAATAACTTTTTTCTAGTTTCACATATGTTTTGGGATTTGCCAAGATTAAGTGTTTTATGCCCTTTCTGGACCCTGCCCTCAATAAATAAGATAGAAATTTTAGGATGGGCTAAAAATCAGTCATAATCTTGTGTACTATTCATAGTTTACCACAACACCCAAATAATATTTTATACTTGTATTCTTTACCCAGTGTCTACAGGTAAAAAGTTTGAAAGTATTGAAGTCAACCTAGGGATCCTAGAGAGAAAGGAGTATTTCCACTTGGCCTCTGCTAGGAATTTTTCTGTCCTCTAGGCTAACATTGGAGTAGATAGATACTGATGCTTGGAAATGCCCTGGGTTCTTCATTGCTAGGAATTAGCTTACACATTTGTGGGTGCTGGCTAGGCAAGTCCATAACTTTGTGGGGCAGGCCATCGGGAAGGGCATGCGGGAACTTTCCAACAGGGGCAGAAGTTGCTGACTGTGGGTAAAATGTCCTTCAAGGAAGCCTCAGATCTGCTCTTAAGGCCTTAAAACTAATTGAATCCTGCCCACCCAGATTGAAGTCTTCTAATTATTAACTTTAATCACTTCTATAATATACCTTCACAGCAACACCTAGATTAGTGTCTGAACAAGGACTATAGCCCAACCAAGTGAACACCTCAAAGACCATCACATCATAGGAAGGAAAAAACATTATACACCGTAGGCTAAGGGGGTTCTGGCCTATATAGATTTTCTCTCAAATCCCTCCTAGAATGGCATAGGTAAAAACATGAAAGAAACTATACCAGAATATTTGCATTGATCGCCTTTGGGTGATGAGGATTATGTTGATGTGCATCTTGCCATCTGCCTCAATCTTCATACTGTTCTCTTTTTTTTGGTTGCTAGGATATTCTGATTATCTCTTTACTTGGTAGAATCCAAATTCACAGACCGTATTGCCATTCCCAGAGACTCTTTAGTAACATATTCTTGAATACTACTCAAGTTTATTTATGGCTAGCTTGAGCTAAAATAAACATAAAGAAATCTCAGTGGGGGACATACTCAGTTGAGCCAGCAGATCTCCTCAAATGATAACTCTAATTTCTTCTCTACTCTATGACCCCCCCTGTGGTGTATGCAATTGGGTTTGGTTGTTTTCTTATGTATTTATATATAACATTTGTTGCTGTATTTTACTTTTTTTTTTAAGGCAGAAAATTTCAAAGGTCTTTATTATCAAGGAAATAAGGATATCAGTTACGAAAATGTCTTAGAATTTATTTTTTGCCCTTCCTTCTGGTTCCCTACTTGAGAATCAATTACACACATAACCTGAGCACCTGTTGTGTGCCACACAGTGCTAGATTTACTCATATAATCACTATAGCTCATGCAATCTTTTGGAAATACTCAATTTTTCACCACCACCCTCCAATGTAAGACGAAACTGAATCTTCAAGGT